GTTGGTGTGTGGTGTTGGGGTACTGTGGAGGCTGGTGTGTGGTGTTGGGGGTACTGTGGGTTGTGGTGTGTGGTGTTAGAGTGCTGTGGGCTGGCGTGTGTGTGGTGTTAGGGGTACTGTGGGCTGGTGTGTGGTGTTGGGGTACTGTGGGCTGGTGTGTGGTGTTAGAGAGTGTGCCAATGGGTTGGTGTGTGGTGTGCAGGGGTACTGTGGGCTGGTGTGTGGTGTTGGGGTACAGCCAGGATTTGGTGCCTTGGTGTTGGGGAGTACTGTGGGCTGTGGTGTGTGTGTTGGTGTTAGGGGTACTGTGGGCTGGTGTGTGGTGTTGGGGTACTGTGGGTTGGTGTGTGGTGTTAGAGGTGCTGTATGGGTTGGTGTGTGGTGTTAGAGTACTGTGGGCTGGTGTGTGGTGTGCAGGGTACTGTGGGTTGGTGTGTGGTGTTGGGGTACTGTGGGTTGGTGTGTGGTGTGGGGTGCACAATGGGTTGGTGTGTGGTGTTGGGGGTGCTGTGGGTTGGTGTGTGGTGTTGGGGTACTGTGGGTTGGTGTGTGGTGTGGGGTACTGTGGGCTGGTGTGTGTGTTGGGGGAATTGCTGTGGGTTGGTGTGTGGTGTTGGGGGTGCTGTGGGCTGGTGTGTGGTGTTGGGGTACTGTGGGCTGGTGTGTGGTGGTAGAGTACTGTGGGTTGGTGTGTGGTGTTGCAGGGGTGCACTGTGGGTTTGGTGTGTGGTGTTAGGTGCTGTGGAGTGGTGTGTGTGGTGTTAGAATTGCCTGTGGGCTGGTGTGTGGTGTTGGGGAATTGCCTGTAGGCTGGTGTGTGGTGTTAGGTGCCTGTGGGCTGGTGTGTGGTGTTGGGGTACTGTAGGCTGGTGTGTGGTGTTGGGGTACTGTGGGCTGGTGTGTGGTGTTGTTAGAGTGCTGTGGGTTGGTGTGTGGTGTTGGGGTACTGTGGGTTGGTGTGTGGTGTTGGGGTACTGTGGGCTGGTGTGTGTGTGCAGGGTACTGTGGGCTGGTGTGTGTGGTGTTGCATATGAGAGGTGCTGTAGGCTGGTGTGTGTGGTGTTGGGGGTGCATGGGCTGGTGTGTGGTGTTGGGTGCTGTGGGCTGGTGTGTGTGGTGTTGGGGTGCTGTGGGCTGGTGTGTGGTGTTGGGGTACTGTGGGCTGGTGTGTGGTGTTGGGGTGCTGTGGGCTGGTGTGTTGGGGTGCTGTGGGCACTGGTGTGTGTGGTGGTGGGGTGCTGTGGGCTGGTGTGGCTGGTGTTGGGGGTGCTGTGGGTTGGTGTGTGGTGTTGGGGTACTGTGGGCTGGTGTGTGTGGTGTTGGGGGGTACTGTGGGTTGGTGTGTGTGGTGTTGGGGTACTGTGGGTTGGTGCATGGTGTTGCAGGGGTGCTGTGGGCCAATTGTGTGGTGTTGGGGGTACTGTGGGTTGGTGTGTGGTGTTAGAGTTACTGTGGGCTAATTAATGGTGTTAAGAATTACCTGTGGGCTGGTGTGTGGTGTTAGAGTGCTGTGGGCTGGTGTGTGGTGTTGGGGTACTATGCGGTTGGTGTGTGGTGTGGGGTACTGTGGGTTGGTGTGTGGTGTTAGAGAGTGCTGTGGGATGAGGTGTGTGTGTGCCAGGGGTGCACATGTGGGCTGGTGTGTGGTGTTGGGGTACTGTGGGCTGGTGTGTGGTGTTGGGGGTACTGTAGGTTGGTGTGTGGTGTGCAGGGGAGTACTGTGGGTTGGTGTGTGGTGTTAGGGGTACTGTACATGGGTTGGTGTGTGGTGTTAGGGGTACTGTGGGTTGGTGTGTGTGGTGTGCAAGGGGTACTGTAGGCTGGTGTGTGGTGTTAGAATTACTGTGGGCTGGTGTGTGGTGTTGGGGGTACTGTGGGCTGGTGTGTGGTGTTGGGGTGCTGTGGGCTGGTGTGGTGTTAGGTGCACTGTGGGTTGGTGTGTGTGGTGTTAGGGTACTGTGGGTTGGTGTGTGTGGTGTTAGAGTGCATGGGGTTGGTGTGTGGTGTTAGGGGTACTGTGGGTTGGTGTGTGGTGTTAGGGGTACTGTGGGTTGGTGTGTGTGTTAGGGGTACTGTGGGCTGGTGTGTCATGGTGTTAGAATTTTGTGGGTTGTGGTGTGTGGTGTTAGGGTACTGTGTGCAATTGTGTGGTGTTGGGGGGTACTGTGGGCTGGAGGTGTGGTGTTGGGGGTACTGTGGGCTGGTGTGTGTGGTGTTGGGGAGTGCTGTAGGTTGGTGTGTGGTGTTAGAGTGCTGTGGGTTGAAGATGTGTGGTGTTAAGGTACTGTGGGCTGGTGTGTGGTGTTGGGGAATTACTGTGGGTTGGTGTGTGGTGTTAGGGTACTGTGTGCTGGTGTGTGGTGTTGGGGTACTGTGGGCTGGTGTGTGGGGTTGCTGTGGGCTGGTGTGTGGTGTTGGGGTACTGTAGGCTGGTGTGTGGTGTTGATTACTGTGGCTGGTGTGTGTGGTGTTGGGGTGCTGTGGGCTGGTGTGTGGTGTTGGGGTGCTG